TTTTATGGATGAAGGAAAAGCAACCATCTACCGCTGGTGAAGCGAGTTCAAACGCGGTCGTCTTACTTTGGGGGATAAACAAAGGAGTGGTCGCCCTACGACGGCTGTCACCGAAGAAAGTGTGCTGGCAAAAAAAAGTATTCAAGAAAACAGACGAATTATGTACGAAGAGTCAGCATACTCTGCACATTGGTTCACGAAGTGTTCACAAGATTTTGCACGAGCACCTTTGCGTAAGGAGGATAGTTTCCCGCTGGGTGCCGCACAACCTCACCGAAGCTCAGAAGCAGGCCCGTGTGGATTGGTGCAGTGATATGATACAAAAATTTATGCAGGCTCGTCACGGCGCGTTAACGATTTTGTGACTGGTGACGAATCCTGAATTTATCAATACGATCCAGAAACAAAGCGTCAGTTTGGCTGTTTCAAAATGAACCAACGTCTACGAAAGTGAAACGATCTAGGAGCGCAGAGAAAATTTTGATCGCTAGTTTCTTCACTTTAACGGGGTACCTAATTTCAATTCCACTTCGAGACCAAAGCAGCATCAACGCACATAGAATAGCACAAAATGCCTGCCAGAAGTTTTTTCTGCAATGAGCAACAAGCGACTTAACACCGGGCTCCGCGGGGTCCTTCTTCACCACGACAACGCGCCCGCGCACTCTGCGATCAAAATGAAGTACTCTGACTGGACTCCACACCAGTCAGAGTATTGGGACACCCTCCTTACAGTCTTTGGCTCCGTGTGAGTTCTTTCTATTCCCTAAAATAAAAAATCAGCTCAAAGTGATACAGTTTTCATCGCCGGAAAAAGCGGAGTGTCTGCGGAGGACTGGAAAAAAAGTTTTGAAAATTCGTTCAGACGCATGAAACTTTGTATAGAGGCTGGTGGAGAGTTCTTTGAAAAGATTTAAATAAATAAGTAATTTTTCATAGAAGTTAGTTTTTTAGTTCGTCATCGTGGCCTTTTTGTAGGTATTGATGTCCTATATAAAACTTTAGTACATCACTTTGCTCTATTGTCAATGAATGACCGCAGCGTACGATATAAGGTATTGGTATTTTTTTGGATGGCATAACCGAAATTTTCATATGCAACCCCAACTTTTTTGAAAGTACTCTATAGTCTATGTTCATCGGGAATAATGTAGGATTTCAAACGTGAAAGAATTATATAAAATTTCATCATAGTCTTAATTTTATATCATTTCGGCACTTGGCTATTCGTATTTGCTATTTGTAAATTTGTCAACAGACTCTCCTTTTCATTCTCTATAGCACGGTTATATTATCTATATTACCGTGCCAATAGCTAGTATATGATAAGGATACCTGCAACTTAACCTTAATAAGACCAAAATCATCCAATTTAAACCATATCAAAGGTATGGATTAGAAATATCATACAGTTACAATGACACGAAATTGGATGTAGTAAGCTCCGCTACTCTATTGGGTATTGAAATAGACACACATTTGAATTGGAAACAGCACATCCAAAAAATAACAAATAAGCTTTTATATACGCACTCCATCAATTAAAACGTGCTAGCGATTTTCAGTCCGCTATTGTAGCTTATTATGCGTACGCGTATTCAATACTTTCGTATGGAATTGTATTGTGGGGAAACTCATGTAACGTTGGGAAGGTGTTTGTTTTGCAGAAGAAATGTATACGAATACTGGCTAATATTGACCAAATGGAATCCTGTAGATCTTTTTTTGTAAAGTATAATATATTAACTTATAATATATTAGCTTCCATCTATATTCTGGAGTCTTGTAAATTTATTATAAAACATCCAGAATTTAATTCGCCACTAAAAAATAATAAAAGGAATAATAGAAACTTAAATAAATTTAGATTACCGATATCGAAAATGAAATTAGTAGCATCTAGCCCCCATATAATGATGATTAAAATATATAACCATGTCCCTAACTATTTAAAAAACTATAACACACCGACACAATTTATCAAACATTTAAAAGCCTTTCTTATTGCCAAGTGTTATTATGACTTAAATGAATTTTTCTATGACAAATCACCCAGCCAATGGAATGCTTCAGACTCTTAAGAATTTAATTTATAATGAATGTATTTAAATGAAGAATAAATAACAATATTTTAATGAATTTATGGTGTCGATTCTAGCATGATTTTCTAAACTTTTTCATTATGTATTGGGAATGATAAGGATGCACTGTCGTCAAATTTAGGTTTGGGTTGGAGAGTCATGAAGAATTGACACCAAACACCAATGTATGTAAAGAATGATTAAAACTTAGTTTATAAATTATATTGTGCAATTGTATAATAATATATTTTAAATAGATTATAACCCTCTAAAGTTGCTGTGCCCTTGCAGGGCGTCACATAGTTACTGTATTTGTTATGTACCACCTTATTTTTGTGAATGTGATATGCAATGAATGAATAAATAAATAAATAAAATTACAAATAGCAAATACTAATAGCCATCTGAAATGCCGACACCATGACCTTCGAAGTCAAAATCACGTTGAACAAGAGTGCGTTCGATAACGACATCGCACATGGGAACATCTCTGTGCCAATAGGTCACTTTAAAGGTCTTAGTAATAATAGTAGTTATAAGTTAAAATATCACTATAGTAGTTCTGTTTGTAGAAATTTTGTTTTCTATTTTGTAAAAAGAAATTTTATATTCTTGACTGTATAAATATAAGTAGAAATCTGGTCAAAATAATTTCATTTATAATTCATATAATAAATGATATGATGTTTGAGAAGGTGGCGTGTCAAAATTATTAAAAAGATCACCAACATCTCAGTCAGTTATGACCACGAAGCCTGTAAAGAATTCAAAACGTTCAATAAATTGCGCTTCTACTAATAAATATAAGTGTACACATAACAGTGTTTTATTAAATGATTTTAATAATAAATAACCATGAATAGAAATAAATATTTTAAGATAAAATTCGTGGTGCTTAAGAGCCCTTTCACATTTTTTGCAAAAAATCGTAATTTTTGAACGCCTCGTTTACCCCCTTAGAAAGTTTGACTATTTCCAATAAAAGTAAACAGTAGATTTATTCTTCCTATTGCAAGTTAATGTAGAATATTTGCAAATACTATTTTCCTTTTTTTGTACTGATCGTTCTACTGCAGCTAGTTTAAGGAAAAAACGATAATATGCACAACTTCAAACGCCTCAATCTCTCAATAATGTTCAATAAATTAGATTAAATTAATTACTACAACATCAGAAATATGATTTTGTTGTAACATAATGTATTAGAATTTTGATTTTCCATCTCATTAATTATCAAAAAAAGACATCTAACCTCCGTGAGTTTTCCCAAAAAGCAATGCAGGTTTACCTCGTATTTTGATATTGTATTAAATAGAATTACTATCAAAAACTTTCATAAAACTAATCTACCATCATTGAACTACTGAGATATGTATATAATTTTATAATTAGTTAATTAATAATTACTTTATAAGACTCGAAACATCACCCGTAAAATGCAATATATACTAGTGCAAATCTATCTACGCGCCGATCAGTAAGGCAGTTTTGTAGGGGTTATAGGCAATTTTGTAAAAGGGCTCTTAAAGGCGTCAAAATACGGCAAAGATACTATGTTATTTCCTTATATGATATTATTTTGATCTCCATATAATTTAATTGACAACCCCTCATGCTCAAGACCCCACACGATCGAGATGTGATTATATATCTTATCTTCAGTATCTTAATATACCAAGCGATATAAGTTGTTATCATAATAATCCTGCATTTTATTGCCAAAAATACGAAATATGTGGGTATATCGACAAATTATCAATTAAGTATGGTACTTTGATTATATGTATTATGTAATGACTGTATAATTATGTATTATCGTTTCCAAGCCGATTGTGTTGCTCTACGATATTTTAATATCTTTACATCTTAGAATCTTGTCTGAATTTAAAAATAAAATAAATATTCGAAGGGGGCTACAACAGTACCCTTAGCACGAACCATTATCGAATAAGAATAGTTTGCAAACCAAAATGTCAATGTCAAATTTTGTATGGAAACTTGAACAGCAGCGGCACAAAGTACGTAACGAGAACTAAAAATCAGTACACATTTGACAATGACATTTCGGACTCGCAAACGATACGAATTCGATATTAGTTCGTGCTAGGGGTACAGAAGTGCTATCTTTGCCGTATTTTGCTCGATATTATAAAATGTGTCTAATGTTGTACGGAACATTTCGTGCACGAGTCCAACTCGCACTTTGTGTCGGTTTTATTTGATTAGAAATTTATTTTATCTTCTAATTAAATTTTATTTTTCACTGGCTTAGGTCCTCGACTTCGTCCTCGTCAACATTATTTTCTGAATTTTGTTTTCTTAGTCTTGAGAAAACCAAAAAAATATATGGATGAATTCAGCATACCTAGTCGTTCTCAAGTTAAAACGTGACTAAGTAAATAGGGATTTTTTTTACACGGGAGACCTCTTCTACACAAACATTTAATACTTACTCAAGTAAGTGCCTTAACTTATTGGTGTAGAAATAACATAAATACCGCGGCATGTCCCACCCACTACAAAAACGATCGTAAAAACATTTCCTATGTAACCAATGTTATACGCGGGTTAGAGGTAACTTGTGGTCGTGTCAATAAAGAAACGAATCGAAAATGAAGACGCTAGCCAATCGGACTCTGTTACACATCCTGTTAGGAATAATATGTGAGTTTCTTTACTAGCGCGAGTTAATAATAAACTAGAGGGTGCCTGCGGCTTAATTGGTTTCCTATACAAACTTCCACTTCCCTTTTCACCCTCCTAAAAGGTTTTCTGGGATAAAAACTAACTTATGTCCTTTCCCTGGACTAACTATCTCTATACCAAATTTCCACTCAATCGGTTCAGTGATTTAAGCGTGAAGAGGTAACTGACAGACACACTTTCACATTTTTAATATTAGTTTGGATGTTGTTTCAGATGGAATCGACGGTAAACAAGCAAGACGCACCGGCACGAGCGGCCCTCTTGGCGAGCTGTTCGACCACGGCCTAGACTCGTACTCGTCAGTGCTGATACCCACATGTTTGTACAGCATTTTTGGGAGGTAGTTAACAGTTACAATATTTATACTTATATTATCAGTATTACCTGTTTGCTTCGAGTTGGCCGTCGACAACCGTTACAAAATTTGTCTCAGGCCAATCACAGGTACACGTCTACCAATAAGGTCGACTAATAGTGTCTGTCTAGTGCGGTGCGGTGTTAGTGGGAGCGGCCAACTCGAAGCGATCACGTAGTACATTTATCTCCCGTCGCTCTGTCCTGTGTGTATGTTCACGAAAATTTCAAAAAGTACCTACTAAACGGATTTTCATGCCATCAGTTACATTTGTTTTTACACATTCACGTGTGTTTTGTTCGACGTGCCGGGCAGGTTGGCTTACACTTCAGTACGTTTCAGCACCATTCCAGCAACAGCACCAGTCGCGATAGCACAATTATGCTGCAGTTGCAGCCTGAAATATTAAAATAAAGACCAATTATGTATTTTAAGTTCTGGTAACTACCATGATTAATAGTGCATTCGCCTAGGGAATATGCATGCTATTTAAAAACGCTATTTTTTTTTATATAAACTTTTGAATAGCCCACCATCAATATATTTTAATCAAATATCATAAAATAAAATGCCCGTGCAAAGGGGCTATTTTTATTTATTTATTAATACTCATTACACATTTTTTTCTATTTAAATGTCTTTAAAGTATATTTTAAGGTAATTTAAACCATAAAATAAAGATATAAAAATAATCATGCAAATTCCCCATTCTCTCGAATCCAGCCTAGTACTAATCAAGGACAAGTTGATTGAAAATATGCATTATTTACGAAAAGTTAGTAATCATCAAGGCTTTTTATTTAATTTCAGAGATGAACTGTCGCCTCTCAGATTCTTCTTCGTAGTATGGAACATATTTATTAATTTCTACCTAACGCATTGGGAGAAATACAACACGGGTGTCATGTTCCTACCATGGGGGTACGACTTCACGATGATCGTAAGTAACAAAAGAATATAATTTCAAAACGGTATCCAATCAGCCTTAACTAATTACATACAATTTGTCTTTGGTATCCAATCAGCCTTAACTTATGACAAACAATTTGTCTTTGGTATCCAATCAGCCTTAACTAATTAATTACATATAGAGTCCGACCGAAACTGGTTTTCCTGCCGAAACCGAAACCGAAACCGAATATTCGGCCGTGGCTTCAGTTTCGACCGAAACCGAAACCGAAACTCGCGTGGTCAAGATTTAAATTCCTTAAAATACTGAAATTTGGTGCATTTTACCCATTATTCAGCATTAATTAGGACATGCCATGGAAACACAGTATATTAATTTTGTTGTAGGTAATCATTTATTAAATATAAAATAAAAAATATAAATAATATTTTTATTATTTTTTCAAATTAAGTTCTCATAGCAAAATTTTTATCAGTTATCAATAATCAATTCACAAATTGTTACTGTTTCATTAAATACCCATCGGTATTTTGAAATCTTATTAATTAATACTTTGGTTTGTATTTGTATATAGAAGAATCATCAATCTCTTTTATCTCAATTTAGGAAACTGCACTTCTCAATATAGGATATGAACTGCTGTGCGAGAAACGAAGTAAGGCGAGCGTGCACGACAACTTCCGAAATCAGTTTCGGTTTCGGCAAAAGTTTCGGCCAATTTTGGCCGAAACCGAAACTGCCGCCGAAACTTGATTTTTGGCCGAAACTCGGCCGAAACCGAAACCGAACTTTCGGTCGGACACTAATTACATACTAGGTACTCAATGAATTGACAGGGTACTCGGGGACCCGGTAAAAACCAGATAAAACTCTTGCACCGGTCACCCGGCCCTCATTCTGAGGACCGCAGTCCCCTCAATGCGGGCGGTGTTCCAGCAGCTAGTATACTGACCGCGCACGCGCAAGGTTTTTGAATTTCCGTCTCTGGATCCACCTGGATGACTACGCACCCCCACTGACGCCCGAATAAGTGGGCCTTGTGATTGCACGACGGTTCGCTCACATCGGTACTTACCGCGGGTGGCAGTCGTTAATAAATAGGTACATTGTACAGTGGTCGTGCTTAGTGCTGCTAGTGACTTCAGCGGTGGGGCCGCGCTCGTGGCACGTGCTACTGCCGGGCAGCGTGGTGCCGGGGCTTGTGCCTGGTGCCACTGGTGACGTCAGCGGTCGGGCCGCGGGCGTGGCACGTACCGCTGCCGGGCGTCGTGGTGCCGGGGCTCATGCCTGGTGCCTCTGGTGACGTCAGCGGTAGGGACGCGCGCGTGGCACGTGCCGCTGCTGGACGGTGTGGTGCCGGGGCTCGTGCCTGGTGTCGCTGGTGACGTCAGCGGTGGGACCGCGCGCGTGGCACGTGCCTCTGCCGAGCGGCGTGGCGCCAGGGCTCGTGCAGTGCTGTACTCGTGTATACATTGTGCAGGGCTCGTGCCTGGTGCTGCTGGTGACGTCAGCGGTGGGGCCGCGCGCGTGGCATGTGCCGCTGCCGGGCGGCGTGACGCCCGGGCTCGTGTTCGAACTGGTGCTTTACTTCTCAGCCATGATCACCAGCCAGACCGTCATATTGTGGAACATTTACAAGTAACTGAAGCATCTCTTTTATAAACCTTACCGTTTTTAACGGACTTCAAAAAAGGCTGTTCTCAGTTTGACCTCTATGTAAGTAGGTTTTCGGTATATCAATGCATATTTATCAGGGAAGGTTTTAATATATAATATACTAGCAGTGTCTCACGGTTTCACCCGCATAGATCGATTGGTAGATCGCGCGTAAGTGTTCCACTTTAAGACTCGCGTCCTCCAGGCTCATTGAGTTCCCAAACTGTGGAACATCATGCTGTGGAACATTTACAAGTAACTGAAACATCTTTTTTTTATAACCCTACCGTTTTTCTTTGTAATTTTATCTGTCTGAAAATGCGCTCTGTACGGTTTTGTTATAAGAGGCACTTTGTTTGTGTAATATTTTGGTAACTATTTCATCTTAAGGCTCGCGTCCACCGGGCTCACTGAGTTGCCAAACCGTCATACTGTGGAATATTTACAAGAAAAGAAACAGAAGCATCTCTTTATTACTTACTTTACTGTAGTATTTTCTTTGTTATTCTATCAGTCTGAAATATCCAAAGGAAAGTCCTATGCCCCAGCAGAATACATATACTGTAAATATATAAATATATAGAAATACATATCAAACATCGATGACTGGAGTACAAATGCTCGTATTCATCACACAAAGATCTGCCCCCACCGGGATTCGAACCCGGGACCTCTCGAGTAGGCGACACCATGAAACCCGGCTTACAAACCACCCGGTTGATCGCTCTGGTGTTTCCATTTACCGAGCGAGAAAATGTTTGCTCGTTCAGAACTTCTCTGAGCTTAAGGGGAAACGCTGCATTAGATTATATTAAAGTGAATTGTTATCACATCGATTAACCAGGTCGTACCGAGACGGCACTGGCAAGATGCGTTCGTTGACGGAAGCGGTGGGGCCTCTAGTGCCCGTGTTGGTATTAGAGGAGCTCGATGGCAAAGGTTGTTTGCGGGTTTGGATTACGATCGCGGAAGTAGAGCAACTTTTGCAATGGCCGGTCACTTGCTGGGTGACTGAAAACTCATTTGTTCGCTCGGTCAGTGGAATGCACAAAACAATGTTGCGATGTTTCTATTGATGACTGAGCAAGAGAGCATTCGTTTCTTGCTACCACTCAAACATACTTGTGCGAACTCGTTAGATCACTCTGGTGTTTCCATTTACCGAGCGAGAAAATGTTTGCTCGTTCAGAACTGTTCTGAGCTTAAGGGGAAACGCAGCATTAGATATTAAAGTGAATTGTCATCACATCGATTAACCAGGTCGTACCGAGACGGCACTGGCAAGATGCGTTCGTTGACGGAAGCGGTGGGGCCTCTAGTGCCCGTGTTGGTATTAGAGGAGCTCGATGGCAAAGGTTGTTTGCGGGTTTGGATTACGATCGCGGAAGTAGAGCAACTTTTGCAATGGCCGGTCACTTGCTGGGTGACTGAAAACTCATTTGTTCGCTCGGTCAGTGGAATGCACAAAACAATGTTGCGATGTTTCTATTGATGACTGAGCAAGAGAGCATTCGTTTCTTGCTACCACTCAAACATACTTGTGCGAACTCGTTAGATCACTCTGGTGTTTCCATTTACCGAGCGAGAAAATGTTTGCTCGTTCAGAACTGTTCTGAGCTTAAGGGGAAACGCAGCATTAGATATTAAAGTGAATTGTCATCACATCGATTAACCAGGTCGTACCGAGACGGCACTGGCAAGATGCGTTCGTTGACGGAAGCGGTGCGGCCTCTAGTGCCCGTGGTGGTATTCTTCGCGTTGAGTTCCACGTGGGCGGTCTATTCACCCAGTGACGTCATCAACCGCGGCCCCAGGCTGTTCTACCTGCTCACTGGCACTATATTCTCCAATATCAATGTAAGTCACTCCAACACGGGGATAAGCGCTAGCCCCCTTATTAATAAACTTGTATTTGTTGATGCGAATTTGTATTGTTGTTTAATTTAATTTGTTGTTTAATGTATTTTGTTTTAGTCAGCACGTGTGTTAGGCTCCGCTGTAGTGTATTAATTTTTATTGATTTTATTATTTATTTATATTTTTAATTATTATATAAAAAGTAATATATTTATAGATTGTATTGATTTTTATATATAAGTATGATTGATGATTTCGATGACAGTTTTTTTTCTTGTTCCTCTTCATCAACTAGTTATGTTAGTGCTGACAGCGATTCCACTATGACTCTATCCGATAAATTGTCTTCCATTCTTCCCAAAATTCGCAGTCTTCAACGTTGCTCATGTCAACGAGCAAAGCATTCCTGCGCATCATTCAGAACTTCTGGCGTCGATTTACAACTCGACTGTCGATACTTTTCTTGTAACTGAAGCTGTTGACTGACAGTTTTGATAAACTCCTTGATGTTTATAGACCAACTTACCAGCACATCATTATAATGGGCGACTTCAACACATGCCTTCTGAAATCCAACTTACGTTCCTCTAAACTTCAGTCTATTATGTCTTCTTATAATTTACATATTCTTCCCACGTCTTCTACCCATCATTTCCCTAACTGTACGCCTTCACAACTTGACCTAATGATAGTTTCTTGTCCAGAGAAAGTGCAATCACACGGGCAAGTAACTGCAAATTTTTCTTATCACGATCTCGTTTTCCTTTCCTATAAATTGAAACCGCCCAAAAGCAAACTCCCTTTATTAATGCGGCGAAATTACAAGGCAATTAATTTGGACCTTTTACGACGTGATGCTGATAATGTGGATTGGTCATTAGTGTATCAGGCCCGATCTATTGTCGAAAAGGTCTGTAAATTGAATTCGCTGATACTAAGCCTTTTTAAAAAAAATAAAAAAATTAAACATAAACCTGCTCCCTGAATTAACAATGAAATTAAAGATCTCTTGGCACTGAGGGATAAAGCCAAACGTAGACTAAAAAGTCGCCCCTCTGATGACAACCTGGTTCGCTATAAAAGCCTCCGCAATCGCTGCAGTCGTATGTGTAGAGACGCTAAGAGACGATTCTTCCATGATTCTCTGTCTAACCGTAATACAGCGGATACTTCGCAATTCCTTCGGTCAGTCGGTGTGGGCAAACCTTGCTCTTCTGTCCCTGCGGGCACCGACTTAAACGCTTTGAATAAGCATTTTTCTCTCCCTCCAGTTAATATTAGCAGTTGCGACAAGGCCGTTACTCTCAAGGAACTGTCTGAACTTGCTAGACCCAACTGTCCACTATTCGACTTCTTGATTCTGAGAATGACGTCAAAGATTCTTTATTATCTATATCTTCTGAGTCCGTTGGCGCGGATAATTTGTGCTCGGGAATGTTTACTCCTATTCTACCTACTCTACTCCCTGTATTAGCTCACATCTTTAACTACTCCTTGTCTTCCAATTGTTTTCCTCAAATTTGGAAAAAGGCTCACATAATTCCTTTACCTAAGATCCCTAATCCCTCATTACCTTGTCACTTTCGTCCTATTTCTATTTTATCTTTTCTTTCCCAAGTTCTCGAGCACATAGTTCACAAGCAAGTTTCCCATTTTCTTCTTTCGAATAGCCTCCTAAACAGCTTTCAATCTGGGTTTCGGTCGGGTCACAGCACGGTCTCTGCCTTAGTAAATGTCACTGATGATATACGCTGGGCAATGGAAAACAAAGCGTTAACTGCACTAGTATTGCTAGACTTTAGCAATGCATTTAATTCCGTCGACTTTGATATTATCCTTGCCATTCTTCGTTCCTTAAATGTCTCTACTTCTGCTCTTTCTTGGTTCGGTTCATATCTTCGGGGTCGCTCGCAGAAAGTTCGCCTTGATGATTTAACCTCTGATGGGTGTGACCTCTGTGTTGGCGTACCTCAAGGAGGTGTTCTCTCACCACTCCTATTCTCTATTTTCATTAACTCTGTTACTAGAGTAATTTCCTCCAAGTTTCATCTCTACGCAGACGATTTGCAGCTTTATCGTCATTTTGATATTGACGAAATGGACTCCACGATAGCAGCCATTAATGAAGACCTTAACCGTATTAGTACTTGGGCACAATTTTATGGTCTCTCAGTTGGAGTCTGGGATTAACTAATCCAAGTAAATCCCAGGCAATTATCATAGGGACTAGGTATATGTCACGTTCCTGCCGTTCCTCTCACTTGCGAATCAACATCCCCTACAGCGATACGGTGAAAAATCTCGGCGTCACAATTGATTCCAACCTCTCATGGACAGCTCACGTCGCTAACGTTAGTCGTAAAATGTATTTTTCGCTTCACACTTTAAAATGTTTGCAAAATTTCCTTCCTTTACATACTAAAATTGCCCTTGCTGAATCTCTTATTCTCCCACTTCTCGACTATGCCGATGTTTGTTATTTAGACGCTACGGACGCATTACTTGATAAACTTGAGCGCCTGCAGAATCTTGCTATTCGATTCATTTTTGGGCTTCGTAAGTATGATCACGTCTCCAACTTTCGAAAGGAACTCAAGTGGCTCCCCATACGTCTGCGCAGGAATGTCAGAATCCTTTGTTTCCTCTTCAATGTCCTTTACAATCCTTCTTATCCCTCCTATCTTCGGGAGAGGTTTTCTTTCACCCACTCGCTTAATGTTCCTTGCAGGTCCCATCTCAAATCGGTCCTCAATTGTCCTATTCATAAAACCGAATTTGCATCATACTCTTTCACGGTATATGCCGTCCGCTTATGGAACTCGCTGCCAGCAGGAATCAGAGACAGTCCAACTGTTGCTACATTTAAAAAACGGTTGAAGGAACACTATTTATCCTCTTGACTCATTGTTTCCGAACTGTATTGCTTCTCCTTTTAACACTTGTATATTTCAATTTAGTATACTATGTTTATTAGTATGTCTATGTAAATATATATGTAGGTTTTGTTTATGTAAGTATTGTATTTTGTTATTTTTATTCAGGAGGCACACACTGACGACCTTTTATTCGCGGGCCTGCTGGAAGAAATTTCAATATGAAATAAGCAGTGCCCTTGTACAAATTTCTTGTCCCTGTTCTTATCTATTTTATTGTGTGTGTACTAAACTAGTAAATAAATAAATAAACAAAGAATAAGCTTAGACTAGTTACGCCATGTTTTGTTCATGTCACTCGAATGCCATTTGTCATTCAATAGACAGAGACAAAACATGGAGTAACTAATCCAAGCGTAGCCTTCGTTTATATTAATAAGGGGGTAGAGGTGAAAACTTCGAAATGTTTCCGGAACTTTGGAGCATTTCAGGAATACTTACGGAAGTACTTCTTAATAACTTCCAAAATTACCAGCAACTTTGGAAGTTTTCAAAATAGATTATTGACTTAGAAAACTGGGGATACTTTGAACTATTTCGTAAAAGCGCGGTGTGGAGTCAAAAGCCGCTTGGTCGTAGTTTTATTTTACTTATCTTCATATAAATCGTCTTGTTTTCAAGTGCCTACATATATACAATAAAAGTATCTTAATTTTTAACTATATGTAACGACATTATTGTACCTAATTTAAAGTAAAAAACATTTTTGAAAACTTCCAAAGTTGCTGGAAGTTTTCAGGAATACTTCCTTAGAAGTGGAATATTTCCTGGAAGTTTTCACCTCTAATAAACGCGGCTTTTTTTTATTGATGGGTAAGATCAAGGTCTTTAATCATTTACCTAATTCCATTAGCTTTAGAAAGTAAACGATTCAAGACATAGCTTAGGCACTGGTTATTATCGAAATGTTTTTATAGTTTGGAGGAATATTTCAATGATCATTGACAAAATAAAATTGCAATTTATGTATAATTTTGACATAACTGGTTAATTTATGATTGTATGAATATAGTTTAGAGAGCAAAATTTAATATTATTTTATGTAGCTGACATTTAATTACTAAATATTATTTTAATGTAATTGTACGCCCGAAATGGGCAAACTGTTAGCACTACCAAATTTTAAGAACCATTTGTACACAGTTCTGGCCAATAAATGATTATCTTATCTTAAATGATGATTAACTTAAGACATTTTTTTAATTTTATTGATGGGTAAGACAAAAGACTCCACTTCACCTCATGTTTACTGAAGTAAATATTAGAAATAACAGTAGATAGGGCGTTGTAAATAACTTCAATTGTATATTTGTAATATAAGATGTATAATCACAAGATGCTTATTTATGCTAGTAACCTAGGAAACGAAAGACTTTAATTAGGCTTTCTTGTAATTTGAAATACCTACTAGCTGCATGCTAAAGAGGTTTTATCAACACCACCCCTCAAATTACATAGTAAAGATGGTAAAATATTGTAACCCCTACAGTGCCTAATGGCTTTGTCAGTATGTCAGCCAACATAACATCAGTGGGAATATATTATGTTAGCTTGACTAGACACAGTTCTACACATTCTCTTACAAATGCACCCTTATGTCAATGTGTTTGGTCCGACGGTGTGCAATTGGATTCTGTGCCAGCTTTATAGTGCTCTGGTTATCTGTGCCTATGTTAACCACACATACATCTCGCAAAAGAACATTACCAATATAATTCATAAAAATCATCCACTCCATTGAGTTTATTAATAATGGCACTGTTTTTCTGTATTCCTGGGTCCATAACAGTGGATAGGGTGTTATAAATATTTTTTATTGTATTTTTGTAATATAAGATGTATAATCACAAGATGTTTATTTATGTTATATAGTAACCTAGGGAACGAAAGACATTAGGCTTTCTTGTAATTTGAAATACCTACTAGCTGCATGCTAAAGAGGTGTTATCAACATATTTTATGCCGGCACTTCACATAGCTGTACGTATTTAATATTCGTCATTTAGACAGCAGGTTGTCCATAACATACTTTATAGGGAATGAAAAGGAGATATAAATAATGGTCATGTGAAATGCCGGCATTAATAATGGCAAAAGCACACATTGCTTTTGTATTACCGATTCACAAGTATGTTTGACATTATCACATCGGATTTGGATCGGATCGGATTTGACGTTGCTAATGTTTACATTATCGCATATGTGTCAATGTAGGTGATAATATATGTATAAATATATTTTTAAGTCATCCAAATTCGTTCTGCCGTTATAGCATCAAAATTAAATCTAAAGCATCTAAACATACATCTATACAAACTTTCGCATTAATAATATTACTAAAGATAATGCACAAGGCCCTGTAGCATGAGAACTACAATTTACAGTAAGGTTTTTTATCACGTCTAACCGTCAAACTCTGTAATAATTTGACAATTGAGCGCGTGATAAAAACTTCGTTTTATCGCGGTGCTCATGCTAGGGGGACAGGTGATCATTTTATGAGAGTTTAATATAATACTTTTGCCAACAGTGCCGTCTCATCGTTTCCCAAATGAGCGACACCCGTTGCGAGGCGTTCAACAGTCTGTTGATACCATATGCTTTAGTAATGGCGATGGTATTCTACTTACGGGTCTCGCCAATGACTGAACTAATGCTCTTAACAACACTATGCATCGGCAGCTCTTTAGCGCATATTTACTACGGCACTAAAGTGGTAAGTGAAGCATTTATTTACCCTACTCAACCTTATAACCATAACATAATTAAAAAGCGAGATTGCATCAGACACACACATAATACCTATAAATAAATTTTCAATCGAGCGAGCGAGACAGAACAGTAAGTTTCATCGTTAGCGTGAGCGATTCGGCGAGTACACGACTATCGGCAACCGAATGCAGATTCCTTTTTCTCTCTCTAAAAACGGAGGAGCTGTGTTGTTGTCCTTTTCTTCACAACAAATGACATATTGAAAGTTTCATGCCGGCGCTTATGGCTATTATATAATTGCGATTTGTAAACTTGACAACAGTTTCTCCTTTTCACTGCCTATAGAGCATGATAAGGATAACCTGCGGTCAAAATGACAAATAGCAAATACGAATAACTATGTGAATTGCCGGCATCATAACAAACCGTGTTTTTTAAGAAAATTAAAGTTTTTATAGTATTACGAATGAAAAGCAATGCCGTGGAATTTTTTACTTGTTAAGCATCGAAGGTTGTAGCATGTAGGTTGTTGTAAGCATCGAAGGCATTATTTTATCTTTTTAACTGAGAATATCCGCAATTTTGTTTTTCAAGTACCCATGCAGCGTGTTTGATTGTCAAATCGTGACAAAAGCAAACTTAAGCGGCTTACCTAGTGCCGTATCTTCCTTTTTTTATTTCATCTAAGTTTTTAACATTTCAAATTATAAAAAAAATATTTTTCATGATACCAAGACAAGTACCTTCCAATGTGATAGTTTTGTATTTTAATGAAATGTCATTAATGTATAATTAGGATTTGCTAGTTATCATGCAATAAAAACAAAGGTAACCGAGACTAACGCCCAATAACCTAACTTAAAACGTAATATTTTATCAAAAGTAATGTAATAAATCAATATTAAACATAATGTGTCGAATGTTGATTTGATTTATTAGCTGAAATACACCTAGATGAACTAATATTCTTAGTTCATCTACGTGTATTTGAGTTATGACGCGAATATCTCAACTAAGGTTCGCGCACATTATGAAGGGCCGCAGCACAATGCAAATGCTTACTTAGCACATTAGTAGCGGGCCGGATCGCAGCGCATTGCCGAATTTTGGTTATTATGTTCTGCCAGACTTCCGTGCAACGGTACGTTATGGACAGCTCTGACGAAGAATTATCTTGTATTTTACCTGTAGGTATAGCTATTTGTATCCATGAACTAAATTAATCAAAAGCTCTTCATCTATTCTTGAGAACACCACAGAAGCACTCAAATACAAAAAAAACGAGCGAGCCTTAGAGTAGACGCGTATGATGTGTAACATTTGAAACCTCACCTTATATTAGTAAAAAAAGAAATATAACCTGAGCGGATTTTTGCGCTGCGGATCGAATTAATGTGCTCGAACCTTTTTAAAACAAAAAGGGAAGATACGGCACTCGCGGGTCAAAAGTGATCCGCTTAAATTGTGGTCATTGGCACGATCACAATTCGCTGTAGTCACAATTGGACATTCAAACACGCTGCATGTGCACTGAATATATCAATATTGCGTATATTCTGTGTTATAAAGATAAAACAATGCCTTCGATGCTTTTATAAAGAACACAAATAGTTCAAAATCAAATAAAAAATGCCTCAGCAACACTTCTCATTCGTAAAACTGTAAAATCATTTTTTCTCAATAATCACGTTTTGTCGTGAATGCTATTTACGTAATCGCCATTTTGTTATCAAGAAAAGGACAACAACACAGCTCAGCCGTTCGCACTCGGAAGCTAATTCGCCGTTTCGTTCGCTCTGCGTTAAAGCGTACAGTTCCGTCTCGCTCGCTCGATTGAATGTTATTTACAGACGTGTGCGTGTGTGAGAGTTGCTTATGTAGTTGAGTTGGATCATATTTTATTTGATGCTCGTATGAGCGTACCGTATCTCTCCTTTTTATTTTAATCTGAGGCGCGAACCTTAGAAGTACGTTATCTGTGGTGCAGGTTAATTGCCCTTGGGTACCTTAATAACTTGCCTAACAGGCGCTCCTATTAGAGCCCTAGTCCGTTATGCCTTACACATATAATTTATATTATGTTTACGTTGTTATGACTGTAAAAGCTTTAAATTACATCATCTGATATTTTTCCACTTTATAATTACAGGTACAGGAAATGTGCGAACATTTCAAAATTGAATGTTTTCATATAAAACCAAAGGAAAAATAATTAAAATTTATTGTAATGAAATTCCTTATTTCCTTTTTATACGAAGGTATATTTATCTCTGTTGTTGTACCTCTCTTTGTTGTTAGAGTAGTACCTACCAGTATTTTAATGCCGGCACTTCAGCAGGTTGTTCTTTTCATATTCTGTAGTAGGGAGTGAAAAGAAGAGACTGTTGTTGTCAAGTTTATAAATAGCAAATACGAAGGGCCATGTAAAGTGCCGGTACAAAAAATTAGGTTCGTTTATACCAGGGATGTAAAGCTGCGTATACGCTAGACGAGCCGAGCACGAGCGGAGAGCAAGCCGAGTCGCTCGCTTGCAGTTTCAAGTGTGGACGTGCTACAAGCCTACATCAATAACTCTCCTCGAACATAGGTTTCCGGTGTGCTCGTGGCTCACGGCGGGGATGGACGAGTTGTTTGTAGCAACCGCTGCTGCTACAGCGATTTTTATAGCCGAAGTTAGTAAAACAGCTAGAAGGCTAAGACGATGGGGATCTACAAATTCATATAAAGACAGACAAATTCAATTAATTGCAAACAAACATCTTTTGTCCACGTTTTCATGATGCTCCGGCCAGCGAAACGAGCGTGTGTCAATTAACGCGTCCACGAGCGCACTGCGAGCGCTTCGCAAATCCCTTTGTGTTCGTGAAAAAACCGACAACGGGCGGAGCTCGGTCGAGCACAAGCCGAACGCTCGAAGCGCGCTCGTTCGAGGCTCGTAAGCCACACTACACGAATTTCGGCTCCGCTCGTGCTGGGCTCGTCTAGCGTATACGCAGCTTTATGTTGCGAATATGGTTACGAGTATTATCAATGTGGATGTTAATGCACATATAACCTCATTACAAAATACACAATAATGTAAGTAATGCATTTTTATAACATTTATTATATTTTATTAATAACACATCAAGTTACTACAAATTATCAAACACAATCGATTGTGAATCATATTTAAATGATGCTAGACAAAGCTCAGTCATTCAGAGGAATTTGTCAATTTTGGATAAGTTACTTACACGTGACTGTCTATGTTTATACAATCACAAAACTGGAAATTGAAACACAAGTAGATGTAATGAGGGTTTTCTGGAATAACGTGCACCAGGTGGCAGCAGTGAGACGAAAGGTCTGCTCATCCGTTAAATCGCGTATATCTTCATATTCCATGGATCAATTTAAATACTCGTTCGATTAGTTCGCGCCAAAAACTTCATACAAATGACCTCACGTCACAGTGGCGCCAACTGGTAACGTAAATTTTCATGAACTGAAGCACTTGACCAAGTATTTATTAAATAACTCTATTCTTCGAAGTAATTATTCTTTAAGGTCAAATCTATTCGAGTGCTTTAATTATATGTCAATAAAAGAAATCGGAGCTCTGAAAATTCCGCATCCGCATCATCCCTGGCTGGGGTTCTGTAAGTACTGACTATGACAGTAGAAAGCATTGTACGTAATGAGCAAAATATACTTATGTATTCGCGAATCTTCATCATTAGAATCTTCTACCTAGAAAATATAGGCTTTACACCAAATAAAAATATTTATTTATTTAAAATGTGTGTCATATTATGCATTTACGTTTATGAATTTTCAAGTTTTTGTTCATATTTCATAATGCATTTTATTGTAATATTTTAAGGTGGATGTGTAAAAAGATAAGGTTGTCTGGGGGTCTTAAATAGCGAGAATGCATGGTTAGTATATTGTTCATAAATGTATTTTTTTTTAATCGGATAACCTAGGCAGACGAGGGTTTTATGTCCGCGGAGGACAAAAGTCCCTGAATCGTAAAAAAAAATCCGCCGAGTCAGAGACTCAACTCAAATGAGAAGCGAACATTTGGTGCGCATCTCTAAACAAATTTAGAGAAGCGCACCTTATGGAAATTAATATTCTCGGGTTACGTTGTTTTATAATTAACATGAGTTAAGAAAAAGAGATGACGTTTTGAAATATAATAGTGGGTCCATATCTATAAATCGGATCGAGCGCTCAGTGCGGACTAAAGTTCGCTGTGTGCGTTGCTGCGCCTATAACATGAGTTCTTATTTTTGGGGACTCGCGCGTACTTTTGTGCTGTCCGGTCTCAGTGTCCTCGGTTGTTCGGGGGAATTTTTGTACGCCGTACTTTTAAGCCCTCGTGTGGCCTTGTTTTCCGATGCAGTTGTGTGTAAGTCATCTATTTGACGGACAAAAATGTCCGAGGACAATTGTCCCTTGAAAACTTTAAATGCATAATTGTACAGATTTTTATGAGAATGCTTAAATTGACCACTTAGATGTAATGAGTTTAATGTAAATTGGAGATTTCTTTTAATGAAACAATTAATGTCAACACTTCACATGGCTATACGTATTTGAGTCCTTAACAACAGTATCCTAGTCATGCTCCATATGAAAAAATAAATGAAATACGAATAGCAAATCGAATGTGAAATCTGGTATTTATGTTTCTTAAAAATGTCACCATTAGATTTCTTTTCAATGAGTACAGCTTCATTATGCTGTCACAAAGTGTACGAGATTTCTATTTACCATGTATCATGCATAGAGACTGCTAAAATATTTCAAACGTAAGAGTTCTCATACCTTTGGCAACCCTGCGCGGCCGCGCCCGCGACAACACATGCCATCGGACAGCACCTTAAGAAATCGGTAAGATCGTAAGTAAATGTATTACAAACAAAATTGTGCTTTATCGCTTGCGAAACTAATGAAGAAATTTTTTAAAACTTAAGATATTGCCACGTTTGTGTTTTGTTTTAGTTTATGAAGCGCGAAGCGTTATCTAGGTATTGTTGATCATAATTCGCAGGTTTTAATATATTTGGTAGCTACTTAAAAACAAAGTGGATAAAAAATTTATTTCATGGTATACAACTTATTATTTGTCTATGGTTTAGGCAGTATTTATACAGCTGTTATTCATTATTTTCCTAGATCTATCGTGAGATGAATCGCATCTCTTAACTCATTGTCTTGAATCTTTAATCTTCTTTTTTGTTAAGTTTTAATTATATTTTTGTGATAATATGATTGCTCATTTTAGCCACCTCATGTTCAGAAAGTGAGAGCAATAAGTTAGTTTTAGATTGCCCATAAACTATTTTTTTTTATTTAATAAGAAGAAAATTCTTACTTTTATTTCTTAATTTTTGCATTTACTTCGTTCATTTAATTTAAACCTTTCGAATATAGTAAATAAATAATGACTGTACCATATCCATTTTAATCATGTATATATATTATATTGAAAGCTTTAGGTTAAGATATTCATATTTTACATAATAAAATCAAATTGTTACTAGAAATACTAGTCAACTATTTAATATTGCCATTTTAACAATACAATGGTGTCAATTCTGGCGTGATTCTCTAAACTTAAAACTAAATTTAAGGTCAGCCTCACCTTTTCATTCTGTATAGAGAAGGACAAGGATGCACTGTTGTCAAATTTAAGTTTAGCTTTAGAGAATCATGCCAGAATCGACATCAATGTCTTCAAAGTCAGTTTATGCCAAATTTATTGTTAGATAATTTTATGAGTTATTTCAAACCTAACCCGAATTTCTTACCTGAAGGATTAAGTAGGATAAAAAACATTCTGAACAAAACCCTGCTCTTAATCTAACTCGAATCGCTGTTCCAAACATATCCCAAAGTACCTAATAAAATAATATTTTTATTCAATAAATAAATTAGACTTAACTATAATATTAAGTTTTGTATTTCTTATCCAAGGGGAATCCTATTAAGTAGGTACTAACAAACCTCTGCTGTCGGTCCCTCCGGCTGTCAGCAGGCCCTGTCCCATTCTCATTTCATTTCAAAATACAGCTATTTATACAGAATGTGTGTTTATTGCTTTAGTCGCTTTAGCAACAAATAAAATAAAGTTAAAAAATAATAAATGAAGGGCAGGCCCCATTGGCGAATTTCATTTTCTCGTTTTTGTAACTTTATCAATAGCTGTACCTATGATGATGGTGCGGAACCCTTATTGTGCGAGTGAGGCTTACCGCACTTGTCCGGGTTTTTATATTAAAATTATTTATACGATTCATTAAGGTACTTTTAAAAATAAAAATGTCATATGTTATGTTTGATTTATAAAGAAAAGGTATACTTGCAGACAGACTTAAGGCTCGTATTACATAATGACAACTAAGTGTTAATCTTTACTTGAGTACAGTTAGAAAGGGATGTCGCTTTGTATAGCACATAGCGACACCCTTTCTAACTGAACTCAAATAAAGATCAACACTGTTTTCATTCTGTAATACGAGCCTAAGAATCATTTACCACCTACTTACCTAAAGAATAAATGCGACAGAACCTTTAGTAGGGGAGCCCAAGCGGGGATTTTTGGATTTCCTTGCGCGGCAGATTAACATAAGGAGAGCAACCTTGAACCTTGTAAATACTCCTACCATACCTGACCTGCCCTCTCCTCTACGCAGGGTCGAACGTCTAGTAACTATTATGTAATATGTGGTCTAGAGCAGCAAAAAAAAAAAACAAACGGTTATGACTTGGTCGCGTCTAAATCATCAGTCTTTTGAATTTATTGGAGTTACTACTGGAGTGTTCATGTAAACATCCCTTCTCAATGTCTGACGGCTTCGAATATTTTTTTCCTACCCCTTCGCACGGCCACACCGTGCAAACTAGTCAATATTTTTTGTTTATATTATATAATATATATTTTTTTTATAAAACTAATGTATATTCGCCCGAATTGCGAAAGGTTCGACTAGTCTATTTTTCTAGTAGTTTTCTTTAGATACTCGTAAAAAAACTTAAGGATAAGAACTCACGGAGAGGTTTTACCAACACCGGCCGTGTGCGATCGCTCTCTGCGATCGGTGTTTTATTACTCTCTGACGGGCGGGGCGACTCCGCAGCCGCCCGCCCAGAAACCGCTCCGTGAGGTCTTAAAGTCAGTTAAAGTCTTCCGTGAGCCTAGGTACCTATTACATAAAGTTCAGGAATTTTGAAAGGGTAACTAACTGCCGGAATGGAAATCTAAGTTAGGTAGGAACAGAGGCGGCGTAAGGCGTGGGCGACGTGGGCCACCCGCCTACGGCCTCGCGGTACAAAGGGCCTCGCGCCTCAAAAATTTTTATGCATTGCTTAAAAGCGAATTTCTTTTTTTTATTATTTTATAAAACCCGTCTTCAGGTCGCCACAGAACAGGGCCTCGCGAAATCTGTCTTGCCCCGGGGAGGAAGAGGGTAACGTTTGGGAAAACAGAATAATAGGTATCTAACAGATAAATAAACTATTCGGGTGAGGTTCGGAATAATAAAATTTTATGGGTGTATTCATTTCATGAACATATTTTTTATAAAGGTGTATTTTATTAGGAAATTGACTGTGTATGATTTGAACAAAATATTTGGATGATCTTATTAATAAAATATTTATTTAAGTTATTTTACCTATGTACATATTTACAGTAAGTATCACCATGTCACTATTATAGAAACAAGCTATACTTAATAGTCAGTCAATTTGGCACAAATTTCTGTTCTAAAATAGGTTTAATGCCTTTCCTACTTAGGTGCAGCTTGATCTTCTCAAGTGTACATGGTCTTAAAGTAAGAGGCTTATTTACCATGTAGCCAAGAGGGCCATGAAACGGGTTGGCATATTCTAGGAGGCAGGGGGCAGAATTTAAAATACGCCTACCTACCCCTGCTCAAAGTGTGATGTGAGATCTTTTTTGTTTGCTGCATTACCTTTTATTTTGGTTCAGTTTTATTTTAGAGATTAACGAGAAAATGTATTTGTAAAAATTTTCAAGCTATTAAGATTTAATCAAACCTTTTACGAATTACCATTTTAAACATGATGAAAACAACCACATGACAAAACTTTTACTATTTCTATTCTGGTGTATAAAATCTTTTAGGTATATTGTCATGTATCTCAAATCCAGTGTAATTATTGTACCATAAAATAACAAGAGTTAGTAAATAAAATATTCAAAATCCATTATATTTGTTTTATTATCAATAAAGATACTTAATATGCATTAAACAATCTTATATTAACTGATCTCAAAAACAACATTAACTTTTAACACTTAGTACTAATAGTTTCATTTATCTCATCTCCTAGTGATAACAGTTTCCTCCATTGTTCAGGAGTCATACTTATTCCTTTTTTTCCTGGTAACAATTCACCATTCTTTTCATAGAACTCCCTTACATCAACATATACTTTACCTTTAAACTCGCGCACTTTAACAAGCTTTTTCCCTTCTAAAACCCATGTTGGTTCTTTGTCATTTGTTCTAGAACTCATTTTCGCCTTTTTCTCTGGTGGAAGATTTCTCTGGAAGTTAAATGGCGTTATTGCAAAGAAAAAATAGGTAGTTTAAATAATAATCTCCATTCTGTAATTCTATTATTCTGAGTAAAAACTAAAGTTCCCTGTCCTTTTTGCATCCATACAACAGGAAATCTGTATATTTAAAAGGCAACTGTTACTGATTGACTTATTTATTAATGCACAGCTCAAGCTCACTGAATGGATTGTGTTGAAATTTGGTACACATGTAGCTTTTCCAAAACTCACTACCTAGAGGGGTAAAACAGGGGTTCAAAGGTTATCATGGACATCTTGCAGGTGGCCGCTAGAAGTTTTATAAGAAGTACTGTTGATAATGGTGATCATACACATATTAATACAGAAGAGTACAATGGCTTCCTTTTAGTTATTATTACATTACTTGTTAGCAATAACTACCAAAGACATTCATTCTAACACCTGCCATAGATATTGTTCAGCAACAATTCTTGTAATATAACAAACTAGTGGGTACCTGTGACTTCATCTGCGTGGAATATTTTGTTTCCCATACAAACTTCCAACCCCCTTTCCACCCCCTTTAAGGATAATTTCTGGGATTAAAAACTATTCTATGTCTTTTACTGGGACATTAACTAACTCTGTATTAAATTTTATCTAGATCGGTTCCAGTGGTTTAAAAGTGAAAAGGTAACCAACAGACACATTTAATGTTAGTATGGACAAATGTTGAAAGTTTACAATATATATAAATACCCATCTTAAAGTTTTTTTGGAATAACAAAAGTCTATTGTAAGAATCATGTTGTCCTTATATTCAAATTTCTTGAACTTAATTAGGTACAGCATGCAAATAAATAGTGTCATTTTTTACAACTTTTCAAATCAAGTGTTGTTGTTACACTTTTTTGAATAATTTTAATCCTATTACATACATGTAGTCTACACATAACAAATAAAATTAAAACGTATTCTTCATCAATGTCTTTTATTGATTTGATTGCTATATATTAGAAATAATAATGTTATTTATAAAAAAGAGATAAGATAATACATAAATTAGAATGCTCTTAGAGTTAATTTCAAATTAAGGTCAGATTGGATTGGAATGTTCACAATGTTAAATACATAAGGTTTTGTTTGTTTTCTTCTGTGGTGGCTGCTCAGAGATTAGATCCTACCAATGAGGTTATGTTCCTGTTTTTTCTAGCTACCTACCTACAGATTAATACATTGTCTTTATAAAATTTTATCCATTTTCGACTTACATCAACGGGTCCATCATCACTATCACTGCTGGAGCTCTCGGCCTTTTTCTTATTTTTGGGCATTTTGCCGGTAGGTATTTAGAGCGCTATACCTAAAAAACCGTTTCATTGCGAGTAAGTAGATAAAATAGTCATTTAAGTACCTAGTTTTATTGAATATCGTTAAATACATACCTTTTAGTCTTTTAACGAAATTTAATGAATAAAAAACGTTTTTAAAACCATAAAATACTGTACATAAGACGTGGGTGACCGTACGTTCTACTACGTAAGCAGTTTTTTTTATTTTTACTAGGGTTCTTCTACACATTAATTGACTTTTTTTTTTTGAAGTTCTCCCGTTTTAGGGAAGGCAAAGGGAACAATGCCCATACAGGCTGGTCTTTAATAAAATTAATCTTCTTTTTGTTTTTACATTAGAATGTCAGTGTGACGCATTCTAATGTTTCTTGGAGTGTTTGGCACGAAATGTATCGAGTTGGCTTTTTCGATAAGCTTCTGTGAGGTAGTCAACACTACAGTAAAATTCTCACGTCCACTTGACCGGAATAGCGTATATTTTAACGATTCCACTAATTCTTCAGTTACGCAGACAGTTGTTACACAAAACCACACCAATTTCATTTCACAATATCCACTATGAACGAATTTAAGAATAATTAAAATAAGACGCCAAGTGCACTCGATGAAATTCCGCCAATTTTTTTTTTTTTTGTGTTGAAGTTCTCCCGTTTTAGGGAAGGCAAAGGGAACTATGCCCATACAGCCTGGTCTTTAATAAAATTAATCTTCTTTTTGTTTTTACATTAGAATGTCAGTGTGACGCATTCTAATGTTTCTTGGAGTGTTTGGCACGAAATGTATCGAGTTGGCTTTTTCGATAAGCTTCTGTGAGGTAGTCAACACTACAATAAAATTCTCACGTCCACTTGACCGGAATAGCGTATATTTTAACGATTCCACTAATTCTTCAGTTACGCAGACGGTTGTTACACAAAACCACACCAATTTTATTTCACAATATCCACTATGAACGAATTTAAGAATAATTAAAATAAGACGCCAAGTGCACTCGATGAAATCCCGCCAAAAACTCTCGAAATTCCGCCAAAAACTCCATTGATTGACATTTAGCCAGAGTTACCAACCCTTACCAAAATTTTCCCCTAAGTATTCTTTAAATTACCCTAAATATAGAATTTTATACTTATTACCTAAATTCTTTCGTTGCTCCTTAATTAAAACGTTACTTATTTAGTTACAGAAAATTATTTTATTGTATAAATACAGTTTCCCAAAGGACAATCAAACGAAAATGAGCTGACAGGCTGTTAAATCTTATTTAGCTATTTTTTTAACTTTAGTCCATACAGCCTTAGGAAACAACCCGCCACACGGTCACTTCAGTCATTTCATATCGTGGTGCGTTCCATTCTACGCACAAAACTGAAAGAAAACACACGCTTTCATTTTCGATTTAATTGAAAGTTTTGATAAAAGGCCCCTAAAAGATCCCCCAAAAAATTCCAGGCCCTAAAAAAGTCCGTTTTAACACTTTTAGCCCCTAAATCTGGGGGTAAAACCCCTAAGTTGGGAACCGTGCATTTAGCTGTTTTATTACCAGGTCATAAAAAAAACATTTAGCTGTGACATTGACAAAATTCATAGTTTTTTCGGGAGAGGGGCGATTTTTCTCCCGAAAAAACTATGAATTTTGTCAACTGTTGTCTGACAAAGTTAAACAAGCTTTCCAACAAATTCATACTACTACTATGGTAACGGCACGTTATGGTATTTTGTTTGTTTGTACGCCCATGAAGTTTCTCATAATTACTCCTAAATTTGAAAGCTCTAATTATTGTTCTTTATTGGCATTAGTGACATGCAGTGCATCATTTAATTTATCGAATCAATAATTTGAGGGCTTAGTGTTCTAAACTCTTCATTTCACGTTTAAAAAAATGAGATATAAATTTTTAATATTTAAATACCGTTATTAAACGGATTTTTTAACGGATTTAGTTAATTAAATTAACAGATTGTATAATCAGGTACAGTTTGTCTATAAAGTCGTGACATGAATGTTTGAGGAACTAACATTATTCATGTGTCTGGCAACACCAAACTTATGTACATCAGCTGTCATCGAGTTTCAGTTGTGGAACAGTTTTCCTTTTGTTTTTTTTATTGTTTGGATTAGACTGTAATAAATTAAGACGAAACTACGCAGAAAGGTATAAAAATGAGTAAAGTAAATCGGAGTGGCACGCGGGAAGTGATTTTTAAAGTTTTCCAGTGATGTTTCGAAGACTACCAAGATGGATGAATTTTGTGGGATTTGGATGATGTTTATGGGCGAACAGCATCTATGACGGGTATGTAATCATGTAACTATTTGTTTGTAATCTGCCTGAAGTTACAAATTTACTCAATTTACGATTTTGAGACCAAAAAAGGCATTGTTTATATTGCACATTTTTAGGTTAGATTGACATTGTAAATAGGTAATATTGTAGTACGACCATTTCTTTTGATACGTTATTATGGTTCACCTCGGTCAGGTTTTCTACCAATTTTGAATTAATTGCTTCACGTCAATAAGTTATTGTTTCTATTCCGTTACATATTTTTTTACTTTTTTTCAGGAAAATCAGAGAGTCGCATAATCAACGAAGGTTTTAAGAATGATGGAAAGTTTTAAACTCCTGGGAAAACAGGCAAGGTCGAGCAAAGAAAGAAATGGTCACATAAAGAACCATGGCCAGATGCTTTTAGTGAAGATACCTATCACTAATTTTACTAACTGCACATTTACAAATAGTTTCTCTAAATAAACTTTTTATATACTATAAAATGATTTTTAGTATTCTTTTCTTAACAAGTGTGTTAAAAAACGTCGTATGATGATACTTGTGTGTATTGATGATTACCTAACGGCTCTGGTCTCAATGGCACCTCAGCGGTAATCACCAACATTACACACTTTTACACTATAAAGTACTATTTTATCTATAATAATTTTATTCTGATTCAATTAAATATGCTTGGCTAAACTTTTTATAAGCATAGGTACCTACTATATATAAAACAAAAACAAAATACTACTGTAGTGTGTCTTATTAATTACCTATTTTACTTGAATGAACTGCTAGTATCAAAATCATTTTGGTCAGACTGTATAGGGTTGCTACATGCATACTAGTGGCGCCATCATTTAATGTCACGACTTTATAGACAAACTGTATAATTATTAGTAAGAAATGTTATATCATACGAATAAAATCATAAATTTTATAACTTAGTATTTGTATATTTTGACATTCGAATTGTAAAACTTTATTAAATCAATAAAATCATATAATATAAGCAGATCACTGAGCATAATTAAACATTACGTTCGTTTTATTCAGCAACCTACTACTTGTAATATTTTTAAGAATTTTAAATGTAAAGGGAGGCTACAATCACCAGTTTTAGTGGAAAATTCACAAAGCTGGCCACATTAACTTTTCCTTCAGGAAAACAAAAGATACTGATTTCATACAGTCTTGTCATTAAGATTTATAATATTTTTCCTTTTTAACATTGGATCACGAGAGTGGTACATTCACGCAAACTCGGAGTCCTGAACAAGGTGCGGCGTTTTTTCACGCCCGATCAACTGTGCTTGTTGTACAAAACGCAAGTGCGGTCCTGCGTGGAATATTGCTCGCACCTCTGGGATGGCTCCGCCAAGTACTTGCTTGATGCTTTGGATAGTTTACAGCGGCGCGCGATCCGCATCATAGGCGATGAGGAGGTGATTAAACACCTTGAGCCTCTTCAATTACGCCGTAACGTGGCGTCACTAAGCGCGTTCTATCGTCTATACCACGGCGAGTGTTCTGAGGAGTTATTCTCTCCTTTCCTTCAGAGGTCCACGCGCGCTGGCCTCCGTTGTCACCGTCTAACTGTGGCCACAATTCCAACGCGTACAAAGAAATTTGGTGATTCATTTCTTTGTCGCACTATCCGTAAATGGAATGCTCTGCCCGCTCACGTGTTTCCTCCCTCTTACAACCTGGGATCCTTTAAAAGAGGCGTGAAGAAGCAACATGCAGGCCGGCAGGGTGAGGATGTCTGGTGTGAAAACTGCTGTATCAGCTATCTTCACGTCTGGACTTCACCTTCACTTAACATCAGATGGGGTGGAGTCATTTGTCGGACCGAAAAACATATATTTCTTGGGATTATTGGCACGAATTATTGAGTCAGTTTTTTGAAAAGACGCCCACAGCACTCGCGAGGAAATCGCGCCAAAAACTCCAATCGATTATTTATTTCAATTATTTATCTTAACATTGAGAAATAAATGAATTGAGTCGTATAGTATCAAAGGCGGCAAAGTAGGTAGATTTTGAAAAATGAGATATGAGTATGGTTACACAGGAAATTTAAAAACAAATCTTGACAATCTCTCATACACGATCACAGATGACCATAATGGAGGCCATACACATTAGGTTATGCATGCTTAGATTAAAACAAAAAGGGTAGATACGGTACGCTCATACTTGCATCAAACAAAAACTGATCCCACTGCAGCGCGAACGGGACGGCGAGATCCGCGTCACTGCATTACCGACCCGAACGAAACAGCACGTTAAGTTTCAACGGCAGCGCAAACGAGACGGCTTAATTCGCGTCACTGCATTCCCGACCAATCAGGCGACCAGTACTCGACGTCACTACCGAATAAGATTCAAAACAAACAACAATTTTTATGAAAAAATATATTTTATAGTACTTACGAATGAAAAGTGATGCCGTGGGTTTTGTTTTTAGTTCTTGAGCAATTTGAGCACTTTTTAAAAACACACTTAGGGATTGTTTTATCATATAAACACAAAATATTAGCAATATTTCATTTTGGCGTTCACATGTACGTCGTTTGCATGTCAAGTTGTGACTAAAGCGATTAGGGTCGTGGACCACAATTGGTGCGGATCACTTTTGTGAGGCTAGTGCCGTATCTACCCTTTTTGTTTTAATCTAAGTATGCATGATGGTTCTAGCCGTTTATGCATAGCCGACAGGCAAGCCCTAGCGTGTACGTGATAAAACTGTACAGTTCTCGGTGCATGTAACTCGGTTATGCATGTCGGTTATGAATGCACGGTTAAACCATCATGCAAAACCTGACGTGTAGGGCCTCCATAATACCATTAAAAAAAATTGATTGAAAACAGAATTTGGTTTCAAAGGTGGCAATCTTTCTCATCTGGCGATCATAACCGGCCATATTTTAATTTCAATCAATCAGAAGAGTTTCTGCAGGAGCGTCGCAACATGGCAGAAAGTGCAGTTCAATACATTTTTGTCTTGAGTTTTTAGTGATTTAAAGTTTCTTCTTTAGTGTTTGATACTTATCATGGAGCAAACTCCAACCAACACGTACTACTAATTACACAAGTAAACGAAGAAGGAATAGCGATACATGGAAGAGGAATGTGATAAAAATTTCGTGTTACTTAATAGTTTAGGGTTGGCCTATTTGAATTTACTATGTAAATATAATTACACAGTTAAAAGTCACAAAAAACCTTATAATAATAATTTTTGATTTGTTTTCCTAGTTACTGGTCCTGCCCGTGGAATATCGTTTCGTGATTGAAACATGATTTTTCTTATCCTTTTCTGCTCATAACATTACCGGTAGGTATTATCCATATACTGATGTATGTAGAAATATATTTTTTTTATTTAAATTTTTATTAAATAGGAGCGATTGAACGCACAATTATCCATTCATTACAGTTATTTTAATTTAGTTGAGTTTATTATAATATTCAATTGTCGTGATGGCAAACACATATTATGATGTGTGCGGTGTGTGTCCAATTGCAAGTGATCTTCTGAATAGAACGCAAGACCCCAGCTTAATAAAAGCCGGTCTTTAGTTTCTTATTATTAATTGATTTTTTATGTTTAAGTCCATGTCATTAAAACCATAAAAGTAAATTTTATTCAAACATTGTCCCCCTTATAACAAACAAAGAATAAGTTTAGGCTAATTACGACGTGTTTTGTTCATGTCAGTCAAATGTCATTCAATAGACAGAGACAAAACATGGATTAACTAATCCAAGCGTAGTCTTCGTTTATTAATAAGGGGGTGTGTGATTGCGTAAACAATAGTTTTGTTTTTACTACGCAACAATGTGTTAGATTTTTTTTTATTTTAAATAATTTGATTTTTGTTTCAGTCAATTATTTGTTCTTCATTTCTCTTTTATTTTCGTTTATTTTTTTTTTAGTTTATTTTCTCTAATTTTCAATAAAAATATTAATTAAATTTAACAAACTTTAATTTTGACAACCCTGTTCATACTCGGCTATCAATAACATTTAGTTCGCGTCAAAGGCGGCCATATTTACCAAGCTACGGTTCAAAATCGGCCATTCTAATAATTTACTATCAAAGGCGGCAATATAGTAATTTTATTTTATTATTATGGTGCCTGTGGTTCATTTTGCGCAATGATTTTATGTTCATTGACATTCATCATAACTACAAATCGTAGTGAAATGTCCATTATAAAAATCCTCCCTTAAAGACGAGACTAAACAGTTTTTTTTGATTTGCCAAATATTTGGTTCGCCCTATTTTGCCGCCTTTGATACTATACGACTCAATCTTATTCTCGTGACCATCATTTCTGTTTTCATCCTGAATAACATCTGATTTGATGCATTGTTTACTTTGTGTTGAGGTTTTAAAATTCACTAACAACTTCTACTACACCCTTCAGATTACTTTGCAATATTAATTAAATGTGAACATGGTTTTTATCATCTAAGTAACTTGTTTTTGCTTAACGATTTTCCTAAAAGTATAATTCGACGCATAGTGGATGAAATATTCATAATGGAGATAGAGATCACAGAAGTGGGTACCTACCTATATTATCTGCGATTGATTCGTCAAAAAGTTATTTTTTATACGAGAAAACTAAGAAAACTAGTAGCAGTGGCGAGAGAAAATATAAATTTTGATGGTCAAAGAGCCCTTTTACAAAATTGCGCTGCTCTAGTTTAGGTAAATACGGCCGCGAGCGTGTCCGAGTCGCACGAGCGAAACATCGACGCGGCGATGTTCAGTATCAAACAATCTTAGGGCTCTGTAACGATTGTTAATTAATTTATTAACATTTAATGTAAATTTTGATCATTTCCGTATGTTCCGTCCACACAGCACCCCCAGGATGACAAATTAAGTACAAACTTGTATCACGACGTTAGGAGGCACGTCACACACTTAATAAGTATTACTACATAAATAAATAAAAAAATACATACTTGGAAGTCCTGTGCCCTAGCAGTGACGACATTAATAGGCTGGTGATGATGATGATGACATCAGAGTGCTGCCCGTAGGGTGTTAGCTGACCAGCAACTGAGTGCTCGTGTTAGGTGCAATTTTACGTGTTAGCGAACTGTCTGTGTGGAATGCCTTCTCTACACGTCAACAGATGCGTCTGCAGATACTATCTTCGGATGCGTCTGCCGACGTGTAGACGGGGCAGTTTGCGCGTCTCTGGTAGGTTTTGAACGTCCACAGACACGTCTGCCATCAATCCGTTAGCTGTCGGTTTTTGTGACATGCAACAAAGGGATCAGTGCGGACGTTCGGCGTGTCTGTCCACGCGTCTCAGGACACATTAGTAGTAATTGAGTTGCTAATGAGAGTGAACGCGTGCTTGCAATTATTTTTTGCTCATTTGTTACTCTCGTTCGCCGAAATGGCTAATGTTATGAGCACTTACGAAACATTTAAATTTCTTGAGTAGTATTCAAGCAGAAAACTACCTGTGGAATCCGAAAAAAGTCAGCAGCCACCAATTCGCACTGGGCCCACGTGATGAACTTTTGGATAATTCTACTGCGATGCACCTCAAGTAGAAGTTAGAAGTACAAAATAAATAATTGAGGCAGTTACGATCTCAATTTTTTTTTATTGTAGTATGCGTATGAATTGCCTCTGTCGAGAATGAACACAGATTGAATGACATACAAACATCGTCAGACAGACGTGTGGTCGGCTCGTGGTGATCCATCTGCTGATGCATCTATCGACGTGTAGAGGAGGCTTTAGGCTGTTTTTTTACAAGTCATTAAGTCCTATTAATAACGTTTGTAATAGACGTACTTTCTTAACAATTTAAGTGCTTTTATATCTTAAACGGGGTAAGTTGAGAAAATATAATCGCAGAATGTAGTTTAAACGTAAATATTCCTACCTATTTATTTGCTTCTATTATTTATTACAAAGATATATCCATACTAATATTATAAAAGTGTATCTTTCTGTCTGTATGTTACCTCTTCACTTTAAAATGGATATTGATATAGTTTGAATCCCGGGAAAAAACTATTAATTAATTACTATTATTTATATTATTATTACTTACTTTAATTAGAATAAGATCCTGTGGCGGATGGCCGAAATCGATACTAATTTTAAAAAGGTATAAAAAAGCCTCCTATTTATAGAGGGAGGTGTAAATTCAAAAAAGTGCTAATTGAATGACAGGAGGGCGCTGCTGTTGAATAAGTGGTGAAATGAGAATTACTAAGTACTTAAAATTTCCTCACTAAAGGGACCGTTACAGTTATTTTATAATAACTCGGTTAGAGTAATGGGAAATATAAAAAAAGGCTTATTTACGATGGCCACAAGAATTTGGTCGCACTGTACGAATTTTCTATGAAAAGAAATATGAGTAGGAAACATACTTGTCACTCAGAATATAGATTCTGAGACTTGTCATATACGTTGCCCCTTGCGTATGATAAGTGTGTTTTATATTCCCCCCTTTTACCCTTTCTCTTGCCTTCAACAGGTGCTTGCGTGGATTGCATCTGCTGATAGAAACTCTCAATCTGCCTCAGGATTACAGCCTCCCCCCCCCCCCCCCCCCCCAATAATAATAATGTTAGTGTGCTGGCGTATGCAATTACTTATCAATAAACTTTCTAACCTTATAGGAGATCCGTTACAGGGTAGGTTCACAAGGTCTTAGTACAACAGAAATTGTTTAAATACAAACTCTACTGCCTGGCAGGGCAAAGATGTTGTTAATTTTACTTAAGATGTGTATGTGTAGCAAAGGAAATTACTTACTCATTATTTGTTAATTTTTAGTGTTTATGGTATTTGAAGTAGTATTTAATACCAATATTATATGGTGCTTAATTACAAATATTAAACTTCCGCTTGTTAAACATCACCGTGAGTTTATTAATTAAAACCAGACAAGATTCATTGCTGCAACTGCAGATTTAATTCTACGGTTTTTCATTGATCACTTGCTTGACTGAGAATCTTCTCACATGATTTTCAATTGACGTAAGCGAGCTTAGGACCGGTCGACTTCTCAAAACATATGTCCAAAAGTGCAAGCCTCAGTAGATGTTGGCAGTTGCGACGCGCTACTCGCAAACGAGCATTTCGCGCGTAAAATATCTCCGCGTACAAGTCTGTTGTATCTCGATAACATTATCATTGTGATGTTTAAATTTTCAACCGCTTTTTTGAAGCAGGTATTGTTTATTTTATTCGATTTATTAGTAGTGTTTTCTTTGCTTTAAAACTCACGTTCGTTACATTATTACATTATTACCTCTACTTTATATTTTCTTGTAACACGTGCGTGCAACAAAACATTGTTTTTTAAGAGTCATAAAAAGAAAATCATAGCAATAACATTCCGGAACAACACTGTATTGATTTTTATATATCATGAACGCTATTATTATACAGTGTGTTAGTATGATAAAATTATGTGCTTAGTCAAGAATATTGTACTTGGTATTTTAACTATGGATCTAGATCTTTTATGCGTATTACCATAGTTAATCTTTAACTATGGTAATACGCATAAAAATTGACATAGTTCAACTAGGCAGTTTGATAAGAACAATGAGAAGATTTTCTCAGAAAAGAAAGTGTTAACATTTAATTATGGTGGTCTGTATTAAAAAACACTGGTTGCTTATTTTGAAAGAAAGAAATTACTGCGTCATTCATTTTGAATGAAGAATGTAGTTGTTTAACAAAAGTGCGTGAACCATGAAAGCGTGTGAAATATTTAACCTAATAAGTTACGAAGTCTTTAACAGACTGGAGGTTTGATATCAATCAGTTGGAGACTTTTTATAAATTAACTGTGTTTCTACGGTAGAACTCACAGAAATAAATATATTTCTGTGGTATATTACAAGGTACTTAATATATTTTTATTGATATTTCATTATATTAATTTTACTAGCAGAATTGTCTTGGATAAATGAACACACACACATACACTTTGAAAATGGCACAAAATAAGAAAGCACTTATGAATTAGGTTTAAAAAATAAAAACTCTTTCAATAATTTCAACAGGTGTTTTGTGTATCATATAAAATGCATTATATATTGACATAACGACACAATATCTTTGTATGGCATTATTAAGTGATGAAGTTAGTTAGTTGAGATCTTTTCTCTACAGGTAATTCAGTTCCTGAATAGGAAAAAAACTATAGAAACTACAAAAGAAATGAATTTTGTTAAAAATATTATATATATTAAGTACATATTTTTTTTTAGGGCAATACAATAATTTTAGCTGTTATCGTATTTGGATTTTCACTGATTTTCCCGTATTGGGAACTCCATTTTATTAGTAATAATACATAACAATAAATTCTTGAAAACTCACAATAATAATTAATTAGGGTTTAACTATTACTACTACATTAAATAAAGTATAATGTATATATATAAACAACTATTACGACTTGAAAACAAATATTGTGTTTATCACAAGAATAAATGCCCCTACCTGGGATTCGAACCCAGAACCATTGGAGCAGAAGGCAGAAGTACCGCAATTATACCAACGGGACGTCTTAGTCTGAATTTACAGAAGAATAACGTTGTTGCTTATTGTTGTTTTAGTAAATAAGATTGTCTTTCTGTATTTTCGTTAAGGAAATATCAAACACATCTAGACACGCGGCAGCGTGCCAAGCCAAGGTCAAGCAAAGGAACTGGTTAGCCAGCGCCGAGTATTACACGAACCACTTGGTGCCACTTTTGACCCTTCTATAACTCAAAACCCCTTTAACGTAAACACATAAAACTACGTGTGTTTAATTATATCCATAAGGACATCTAGAAGCCCAAATTTCATGAAGCTAGCTCAAACGGTTATAAAGATATGATGGTCAAAAAGTCGTAAATTTTAGCACTGACTGACTGACATATTACCTTAATCTAACCTACTTCCGGATGACCTAGAAGTGTGAAATTTGGAATCCAGCTCGGTAATTGTGTGTATGCGTAGGAAAAATCTAAAAATAAAAAAAGTTAAAAAATTGCGGGGTTCCCCATACAAAAAAAGAATTGTAGCGTTGGAACCGTTACAAGCAGATATTTGAATCTATCCCAATATATGTATTATTATATTGCTTATACAACAAAAATATAAAAATAAAGTTAAGTCAAAAAATAGGTGGTGTCCCCATACAAAAAACTTGTAATACGCGCTAAACAATGGCCAACGATGTGTCGTCGGCGGCGCGCGGTATACATACACAGAACAAAAGTTACCTAGTTTTCTTTACAAAAAGTAATGATATCCCATCAAAAACATAAATGTAAAAAAGGAGAGCCAAGTTCAATCCAAAAATTATGCTATGCTGTGGGCTTCGCCGCAAAAAGAATGGAGATCTAAATGAGTGCCAAGTTCAATGCAAAATCCAAATACATATGTATTTAAAACAACATTATGAACAAGTATTAAACTCTATTTCTTTAAAGTAGGGACAATTTGACTTGGCCAGTTTTCAGTTGAATGACTCAAAATGACTGATGTAATGAAAATCTTCCCTACTTTAAGAACTCACATTTTTAAATAACCGCAATCGTTATAAGTATCCAATAAAGCAAAGAAATAGAGTGTAATAAATCTCATCACTCATTTAGATCTCCATTCTTTTTGCGGCGAAGCCCACAGCCAAGCATAATTTTTGTATTGAACTTGGCTCTCCTTTTTTACATTTATGTTTTTGGTGGGATTAAAACTATACCGAAATAAAGACGATATGGGGTGGAGTAAGTCTACAGGTTTTTTGTATGAATTGAACTGACGTAGGAACAGGAACTTAAATGAGATTCATCAAATAGTTTTCCTGATGAGGTAAGCTATTGTAGTTCAATAATTATGTATGCGGTCTATACTGAGGTTGTTTTATTAACTGAATTTATTTTTCTGTTGTGATATTTTAACAGTACCTAAGTACTTACAGTTTGTAGTATGTTTGTTTCCTAATTAAGAAATCTTTCGGTCCCTTCCCGTACTGATTTTGCCCTTGGTCATGTCATAACTTGTCAATGACCTTACCGATTTTATTTATCTTTTCGCGAAAGTTCTAGCGAAGAGTCTAATGGGAGGAAAAATAGAAAATTTAAGCAAACTTACTCAGTCCGAATAGGTTTTTGTTTTTTATTTACATTTTGATCAGTTGTGACAACGCTAGCTAGTTAAATTATGCAGCCATGACTCTCTCTAAAAACCAGAATTACCTATAAGTAAACTTTTAAACGTTTATTTGCTGTTGATGCTATTCGTCCTTGGTATGATCTTCCGGTGTTCTCAAGATGTGGTTAATCAAAACTTGGTAAAAAAAAACCTTCGCTGTGTTTATATCTCCTTTCATTATATTTATGTTTCGATTTATCCTTAATCAAAGTTGTTGAACTTAATATTACTACTCTAAGCGATGGCAGACCTCTCGTTTTGGCACTATCAGTTTGAGTACCATTGTAGCTGTGTATTTATTGATGCATTGTCAATAAAGCATTTAATTAATGATATCTGATAAATGGCATTATCCTTATTATATGCTATTATTTTCACCAGTATCGGTGCAGATGCCTTCCTAATCAAAAGAAGATTGTGGTATAGAATCTTCATAACTAAATAGGGAAGCTCGATGGCGTAGTGGCTAGGCGTTTATTCTGCGATCGTGGAAGTAATCAATATTAACTATGGCCGGTAATACGATGGGTGACCAAAACAGTGCTCCGCGGTGTTTCGGTGCTTCGAAGATATAGGAGATACATCTGAGGTCAGTTACGATTTTTATGATGATAAAGCAAATTAGGAAAATTTGTCTCTGTGGATCTCTGCATGACAGCGGCGCGGCATCAACGCTATCAACTTTTGGCAGGTTTCAACTGAAATAGAATTCACGAGTCGTACAGCTCATTAATGTTACCGTCTATTTTATAGTTTATATTTTACTTAGTATCAAAGATGTTCGATCGGATTAAGATCTGGAGCTCTACTCTCTTTCACCGAAACGAAATTTCGGTAATGAACGAATTTTAAACATAATTTTGCCAATGACTCTACTCTATTTCATTTTCGAACACGCACATAAAGTTCGGAATCACAGACTATTTATTATCATGAACAAATGGAATGAGTCATTTTTGTGAGTTCTTTTTATCTTCACTTTTGAGATTACCTTTTTTACTTGGAAACAATATTTTTGATAACATTAAAAGAACCTTCTTTGACAGTGTTAGCCGATTAATCTGTAGAGTTGATGCACTCCATTGTATGTCAACCTAAATTTGTCGTTTAATACTTTGAAGTATAGGAAATACAATGGTGTATTTGTTAATTTGAAATGCTAAAAAATTTTCCTCACGTTATGCAGCCTTGATTAAAAATACCGTAGCAGTCATTTTAGGCTTAATTTAAACAAAAGTCCCAAAACGAAAACGAAATAATAACACTTTTCATTTCGTCAATTTGAGGTTAAAATTTCGAACAATTGTATGTCAAATTCAACTCGGCTTGGAGAATTTAATTGTCAAACTATTTCGGACAAACGAATTTTCGAAATGAAAAGGAAACAGAGTAGGAAACGTGCGAAATTTCGTTTTTCGTTGAAATAGGGTAGGCCTCCTGGGCTGTTCGGTGGCCACTCTAATACAGTTACCAGTTGACAGTCGAGGTATCTTTTAACAGAGAGTACAGTATGCTTCGGTTCATAATCGTGCTGGAATCTCCAAATTACCGGGAGTTTGTCATCTGCATATGGCAACATACATTGTTCGAGTATCTCTTAGTATTGATACTGGTCCAGGTTTCCTTGTATGCCTAGTAGGTTCCATGCCATAACCAGAAAAGCAACCCCAACTCTTAACTTTTCCACCGCCATGCTTCACGGTCTTTTTCGTGTATTTAGGATCGAATGCTTATTCACAGGCAGACCCGTCTTTCCCAGTGGGCACTTTGGGCAAGTGCCCAGGGGCCCGCGATCGATAGGGAGCCCCCTCAGATCAAATACAAAGTCCCAAGTTCCTGTTAAATCACCAGACGGAAGTTATAGGCCCCATTATCCTAATATGCCCAGGGCCTCCAATAGGTCAAAGACGGCACTGTTCACAGGGCGGCGTGTGTATTGCTTGCCGTCAGAGCATACTCTATTAATCTTGTAATCTTGGTTTCATCGGAAAAAAGTTCATTTTTCCACTGATGC